GTTTAAGGTTTGGCTTTGCCTTCTCACTTTGTCGTGGATGAAATTTCTCCCTTCACTCGCCACCATCCGTCTCTCTCCGCTTCTTTGGACATGCAAATTAATAATAAATAATTAATTCAATTGAAAAAAAGCCTACCTCTTTTTTTTTTATATACACAGTGTAATATTGAATTTTCTGCATTATTAAAGTTTACTTACACCCCCTGTTCAATTCCAGTCCAGAAAAACACAAATCTCAATAAAATTACAAAACATTCACTATTCAAATCCTTCAGTGAGTGTGTGTGTGTGTGTGTGTGTGTGGGGGGGGGGGGGGGGTCATCGGCATATCGCTTGTTTCCTTTGGTTTGGTCTTTTTATGTTTATGTTTTCATCACTTATTTGGTTTATCCACTTACATCTTCAAAATAAAAACTGATAGAATACTTTCAATCATGCAGCACAATTGGCAATGGTGTGGGTGTATTTCTGTTAGCAAAACATCACATTGAGCTGTTGAAATTAACACAAAAAAATGAAAAGAATTATAGACAAATATCGAGACTGATTATTACATAGAATAGGGACCATTGAACATTTTAATATTGTTCACAATAACAGTAAAAGAGCAGTGAAAATGGAGCATGGTGAGTGCAAATAATACACATTCCCTGGACAAACCTAACACAGTGTATACATTTGTAAGAGTGCTGTTATTTCTCACTGCTATTGGACATGTGTTTTATCCCAAAATAACTCAAAGTGCAGACTGGACACATCCAACCTTCTTGGGCATCCATTGTTTCTTAAACCCATTTTTAAATTAAAACTGGATGCGTTTGTTTTTTTACCTTGTCATCTCCTACATAAAATGCTACAGACACAAACAATAAAAACATGTTACAAGCTCCACTATTTACATTACATTTACAGTCAGTCTAATTTAAGATGGCCACCACAGCTGATTAGATAATAAAAATAGTATAACTTGATTAATTTTACAGATATTCACCTAAAATTTGAGTTAGCTGAAACGGATTCCCAACAGCCAGATCTTTGTAAATCTTGCCATTACCTATTTGGTGTTAACCCTGTTAGCAAAATATTTCATGAATCCCTTAACAGATGATTCTTTTTACAGTTTTCGTCTTTTTTTTTCATTACAGGCATTGAAGTAGAATTTGGTTTGGTTATCTGAGAATAACTCACAATACTTAATCCAAGTTCCAAGATAGTTTCTCAAAACTTTATTATTCGAGGATGGAGTCAACTTTCTTTGTTTGTTAGCTAAATATTTCATGAACCACTGTAAAAATGTTAATGAAACTCTCAGATGGGAATCATTGGATGTACATCAAAACTGATCAATGTTTGGGGTCAGTCCCAGATAGCCTCCACATCTAATCACCCCCAAAAATGTTATAAACCAGTTTAGCACATATGAAGCTAAAATCTGGTGTGGAAGTTTGAGTCATGCACAACACATACTCTGAGCACGAAAGCTTGTAAATGGTAAATGGACTGTACTTATATATCACCTTTCTATCTTATCAAGATACTCGAAGCTCTTTACAACACAAACTGTGTCTTCGTTTACCCGTTCATACAGCACTCTACTAGATTTATACAAAGACTGATCAGAGCTTTATCACATTCTTACACTGATAGGACACATAAGAGGCAATGGGGGGGTTCAGTGTCTTACCCAGGGACACTTGGGCATGTGACTGCTGGTGGAATCGAACCCCTAACTCTCCCATTGGACGACGACTGCTCTAACCACTCAGCCACAGCTGCCTCAAAATATTCTTGTGAAAGAAAGAGCACACATTAGATTTAGGATAAAGAGAAAGCAAGTTAAAAATAAAAACTCTCCTACTTCTGTTTCTGATTCCTGTGTCCCCGTGTCTCTTAATCACGTGCGTTCGCCACTCCTGCCTCTTTTTACCCTACTTCTTGCTGTTGTTCCTCCATGTGAACAATATCCCAGCGGTGGGAGGAGGCGGGTGCTGCCGACATTAAGCTTCACAGCACTCTTCTCCCTGCTATGTTGTGTTGCACACAAAACAAGGACATGCAGTGAGCTGCAGAAATTATGCAGACATGTTGATTAGAAAAGCGAAAACTTTTTCTGTCTCGTTTCAATCATTCATCTTGTTCTCGTCCTTCACTCTGAGTCATATGCAAATAGATACTACAAATACAAGCCCTTTCACCGTGTCCGGCATCCTCAGAGCAGACTGAGTCAGAAGAAGAGGCTCCTTTCTCCTTTGTTATTCTTCCTAATTTTTGATTAAAAGAACAGGACATGATGCAACAATGTGGCCTCGGGGTTTTCATATGAAAAGTAGCAAAGTGTTGAATCACTTTTTTAGACAGATGCCTTCTGAAGAGCTGAGCTTCTCCACAAAGCAAAAACAAGAAATGGAAGTACCCCCCATCCATCCATCTGTCTGTCTTGTGAGCTGTATAATTAGAAAAATAAATTGGGTAATGATTTCCAGTTTGGTGTGTAGCGGCATCAAGGTGTAAAAAAAAGTCCCTATCAATAAGTGGGTTTCCACTTCATAATCCAAGATGTCCGCCACCATATATGTCTGTTTGTTGTGTGAGCTCCGCCATTGCACCTGGTGGTTGATAAAGTTGCTCCCTCCACTAGCCAGAATCTATCACAATGGATCCTGTATCCTCCACTTTTTGCTTGTCTCAGAGGACAAGCAAAAAGATTAAAAAAATAATAATAATAACTCTATTCTTCTTCACTGTGTAACTCCTACCAACTTGAATATCTTGCACCAAAAAACTAGGTTTACTTTTGTTCCTGTTCAAGTCCAGTCAAGAGAAACTTTCATCTCAAAAACTACAAACATTTGCTTTTCAAATCTCAGCAGCAGGCAGGGGCGATTCTAGGATCAGACTTTTTGGGGTGCTTAGCCCCACAGTTCCACATCTCTTTACAATATACTCAATTACTCATCCACCACCACTCCAAAAGTTAGAGCCATTTATATTGTTTTCACTTCCTGTAGTACTGACAATGGCTCTTGGCTTGAACAACGCACCCCATGGTGTGGTTTGTCCATCCATCCATCCATCCATCCATTATCTTTACCCGCTTATTCCATTTTGGGTCACGGGGGTCGCTGGTGCCCATGTCCAGCAATCACAGTGCGAGGGGCGGGGTACACCCTGGATGGGTCGCAAGTCCATCACAGGGCCACATAGAGACAAACGAGACAAACAACCATTCACTCTCTCATTCACACCTAGGGACAATTTAGAGTTACCAATCAGCCTAACATGCATGTTTTTGGTCTGTGGGAGGAAACCGGAGCACCCGGAGAAAACCCACGCATGCACGGAGAGAACATGCAAACTCCACCCAGAAAGGCCCCTGGACCGGGGTTTGAACCAAGGACCTGCTCGCTGAGAGGCAGCAGCTCTACCAGTTGCGCCACCGTGCTGCCTGGTGTGGTTTGTGAGAAGTGCAAAAGCTTACAGCACCTGTTATTCCCAGGTGGTCTCCCATCCAAGTACTAACCAGGCCCAACCCTGCTTAGTAGCCAAGATCAGCCGAGATCCAAGGTTGTAAGTGACAGAGTTAATCATGCTAACAATTGTTCTTTAAGGTGCACCTTGTTTGTGGATTTTAGGTAAACCATACAGACTAGGTGTGGCCTCCCCTGGGAACAGTCTGTGGTACAGAATACAGTCAATAGCCTTGTCCTGCTCCAAATTTTTCAGGCAATCTATTAACTTCTTCTTGTAACCACTTCCTGGATCTCTTTTCAGAGGTTCATAAGTGGTTAAGTCACTAAGGAGTGTCATAACTTTCTCATGATAGTCTTTCTGGTTCAAAATCACTGTGCACCTTCCTTTGTCTGCTGGGAGAATGATGATGTTTTTGTCCTTGCTAAGAGTGGTGAGTGCATCCCTCTCCTCGCTACTGATGTTAGAAGGTGGTGGTTTGGCATTGCTGAGGCAGGAAGAAACTTTGATTCTGAGTTGTTCTGCTTCACCTTCTTTCATTTTGTTGTTGCGGATAGCTGATTCTGTGGTTGTGATCATCTCCACCAGAGGAATTCTACTAACCAGTAGAATAAAGAAGAAATAAAGAAGAGTGGGAGAAGGCCCTTTTGTCTAGTTCAGTCTTCACTGAGGGAACACTGCATGTAATAATGTCCTGAGAGTGCATGCTGTAGCTGCACTCACGCAGAGACATGTAGGAGGAGATGTATGAAGGCAACAGACCAAGAAGTGATTTAGTTATGAAAATGTACCAATGGGAGAGTCTACATGAGGTTAATGATGCCCAGTTAACCAGTGAATACATGGTGCAATGATGGGTATGGTAGTTGCAGCCAGTTATGAATCTTAGCATCCAGCATCTGCAGAGTGCTTGTAGGAGATTTCATATAGATAATGTAATCTTGGTCAATGGAGGGAAGGAAAGTCACAGTTACAAGGCGTTTCCTAGCATTCAGAGTTGGACAGGATCTATTTCTGAAAAAGAAACCCAGTTTAACTTTCAGTTTCCTTAGTAGGTTTTCCACGTGAAGCTTAAAAGAGAGATGCGAGTCAACCAAGATACCCAAATATTTATAGGAATCAACAAACTCAATAGAAACACAATTTGAGGATAAAATCAGAGGAAGAACTGATGGGACTGACTTCCTTTCTCAGATGATAAAAGCTACTTTAGCACTAATATTACAACCTGTTTGCATTTGGCAGCAAGTGATAAAAATGATACAGAAAAGGTCAAACGCAAGAAAAAACACATCTGTGAGTATGTTTAGATTTGAAAAGTTACCTTGGAAGTGTGCAGTAAACAAATGGGAATTGATGAATAAACAGTATGCATATTTAAATGTGTGTGTGTGTGATGCAGCGGGAGGAAGTGGTGAGGTCTAGCACTGCAGGCCTCCATCTGCTCTTATCCATACAGTTGTGTCCTGTGTCATTCACAAACCCACACATGCACAGAGTACGCTAACGCCTGACTATCTGTCATATTCCAGTGTGATCAGCAGAGCTCCAGGGCTGAAGCTAGTAGTCGAGACACTGATGTCGTCACTAAAGCCCATCGGCAACATCGTGGTCATCTGCTGTGCCTTCTTCATTATCTTTGGCATCCTGGGAGTGCAGGTGAGAGGAAACAACATATGGCCAGGGACACGACAAACACAAGAAATCTGTCTCCTGCTAAGCCGTTGCATCAGTTTGAGACAACAAATGCTTCCAGTTCTCAATCCTCTCTGACTTTCCTTGGGCTGACATACATCCAGACAGTTAGACAAAAAGAAGAGTTATCGTTTACCCATGCAATATGACTCATCTGTTAGGACGCTTATTTAAAAGTATCAAGTGTTAATGAAAATTCAATAGCTTCAAGAGTATAGACCAACTTGCACCATCTTCTCTACATCATCTCAGTGGTCCTGATGCAGTTCAAAATATCATGATGCATGCTCAATAATCCAGTAATAATAATCCAATAATCCATAAATTAAGTCAGGTCCTCTGGATGGATTCTTCTTGTTGAAACGGTTCATCTCTTATCCAAAAGACTTCTTGAGTATGAGCTGCATTAAACTCAGTCTTATAAATATCACCTTCTCATAGTGGATCAACCAGTTTGCTGCTGACATCCAGAATTAGCTGTTTACATGATAAAGGAGGACTATTGCTATTCACAGGGGGCTGAGTGATACTAGCAATAAAAGCATTGTAAGAGGGGGACAGTTGAACATGGAGGCTCCGCCCCATTTAAAGATGAATGGGTTCTCTTCACAAAGATGGCTTCCCTCACTCCTCTCTCAAACCATTGTTCCTCTCTATCAAGGACGTGTACATCTTCATCTCTGGAAGAGTGACCGCTGGCTCTTAAGTGTCCTGATGTCGTGTTTGCCTCTGCTCATTACTCATCTGTCAACGTATTTAAACTGGTTATTTGTCCAATTTAGGTTCTAAAGAGTCTACAGATGTTTGGAGAACATCAAGCATTGAAGGAATTATCCACTCACTGTAGAGTCTTTAGAATATTCTAACTGTTGGCAACACCAGTTCAACTGTAATAAATGTCCAACCTTTTGTTTCTTGTTATATTGTGTGCTGTAATTTGTGTTTCAGTTCCTAAATATAACCCTGGCAATCCCCAAAATCCAAAGCTAAGTTTAAATTGACTCTTCATTAACATAAAACAATCATTGTAAATATTTGACAGGCCATATCTGGGAAAAGATGCCCAAAATTCTCATGCTCAAGTATTGATTAAAAAAACAATCATTGTGTACTTTCCCAGGGGTGTATCTGCTTCCATTGTACTGAACCCTCAAATCAAACTGCATTCATGATTGTGTTCTGTTTTTGTGTATGTGAACATGTTTTGTTTTTTTCATTCAGCTTTTCAAGGGAAAATTCTTTGTGTGCCAAGGAGAGGATGTAAGGAACATCACCAACAAGTCAGACTGTTTCCAAGCCAACTATAAATGGGTCAGACACAAGTACAACTTTGACAACCTTGGTCAGGTAGGAGGATTTTGGAAATACTGGGTTTCTTACCACTAGACATGCAATAAACAAACATAATGACCAAAAACATACAAAGGTTTATTATTTGGATAAATCGACTTGATTAACAATAAGTACACTCTTTTTTTAATTGTTGATGTAATGTTATTAAAGTTTTTGTTGGGTACATTTTAAAGAGCCGTCATCCTAATGAGTGAACCAGCTTGTTCTATTTCATATAGGCTTCGCCCTTTAAGGCTATCGCAAGTAGAGGATGACACAGGAGTGGATTTTCACTCCTGTCCTGTCCTGGTCCCACAGAAAAAAATCCTGTCCTGTCCCAATCCTGGTCCAGAGTAAAAAAATTAATCATGTCCTGTCCCACTCCTGGTAACATGACTCCCACTCCTGTTCTGCTCCTGTTTTTTATTTAACTTATAGGAAATACATTGAATTTGATTTAATCTTGTACCCATTTCTGTTTAAATTACTTTGTGTTCTGTAGTTTTATTTCAAAAGATATGGCAACAGCAACAGTTCATCTGTGGTGAAATAGAGACATTTATTTCCTTAATCCAAACAAAAACCTTCACTAAAGGGCACAAAACAAATAATACATGGTCTGTAGTCCATATAATTTTTCTACGGAGGATCAGCTGCTGAGTCCCTGTTTCTAGATCTTTGAAGGTCAGTTACAGTAAAAACTAAAAATTATAACCAGTACATGGGTCACACCATGTCTACCTTAGTTGAAACAACCCAAACATAACAAGTTGCATTTTACTAATTTATTGAGCAATTGTTTCCTTTAAACAGTGACATTACTGTCATGTTTTAAATTGTTTAAACAAACAAACAGACAAAAAAAGAAAAATAATGTACCAAGCAGAGAACTCAACAAATAAAAATATTTAAAGGCATTATTATACATTGGACGACGTCCTCAAGAAGTTCAGTCTATGTGGTCGAGGTAACGAGCTCGTTTGGGTGAAGCATGATGTCGTGCATCTTACCAGACTTCAGAGCATCATTTACAGACTGGATCATTGCAGGTCTGGTGTTCCACCTCATCTCTCCACAGCTTCAGTGACCGGTCCAGAGCCTTGTGTAACCTAAAAGTGAAAGACGACAGTGCACAAGTCAAAATAGGGTTACAGTGACTACAAATTACAATCTTTCTTTTGGAAAAAAAATATTTTATCAAAAACAAGAGATTTACAATTGAAATTAAGTCAAGAAAATGTGACATTTGCAAATATAAATTACAGAGGCTCAATTTTTCTTTATTTATTTCACTTATCATATTTTATAATTATTTAAGTAGCCTCACCAGGCAGAGATTACAAGATTTTATGTATCTTACCTGCTCTGTTGAAGTGTGTGACAAGGGTCTTCGTGTCCAAAGCTGTTTAACAGCTTGCTTCCAGAGCTAACAGCTTCCTGTGTTAGGTAGAAAAATTAAATTAAATTAAAGACAAACAAAAAGCACCCCGGTCCAGGAGCCTTTCTGGGTGGAGTTTGCATGTTCTCTCCGTGCATGCGTGGGTTTTCTCCGGGTGCTCCGGTTTCCTCCCACAGACCAAAAACATGCATGTTAGGCTGATTGGTAACTCTAAATTGTCCCTAGGTGTGAGTGAGAGAGTGAATGGTTGTTTGTCTTGTTTGTCTCTACGTGGCCCTGTGATGGACTTGCGACCCATCCAGGGTGTACCCCGCCCCTCGCACAGTGTTTGCTGGACATGGGCACCAGCGACCCCCGTGACCCAAAATGGAATAAGCGGGTAAAGAAAATGGATGGATGGACAAACAAAAAGCTTAGTGCTACTTCTTGTGCCATGCTTTCTAAAACAGTTAGTGAATCAATGATTTACTTATGTAGGTAAACATAAATGTTTTAAAACCTGTTAAAATACACCGGAATGCAGGAAATAGAAGCTACTTTATTAAAAAAGTTATGGGGGAGGACCAACAGACCTCGCACCAAAATGTCCCCCCTATAATAACAGTTATCATAATATATATGCAACCAGCCTTTCATATAAAAACTGGTATATTTTTACCGAAGAATGCTGTCAATAACGAGTTTGTTGTTGTACTGGCATGGTTATAGCCGACAGTTAACTATTTACACAATAAAGTGATGGTTATTCACATTTTTCCTCCACTTTAGTATCCAGTAGGACGTCACAATATAAAAAATAGGAATATTTTTACCGGAGAATGCGTGCACTTTAACCAGGAAGAGTTCATTGTTTTTTTGACATTACAAACAGCAACAGATGATCAAGATTTTAACCTAAAAACCTACATAACAAAGTAGAGCATCGTTTTTTAATTAAAAGGGACAAGGTGGAGAAAAATGCGCTGAGTCTGTTTATTTACTGACGATAAACAAAGTCCGACTCCCCGCAGCTCCACACTGCAGCTGAGACTAAACGTTTAAACCAGCACAGCACCAATACAACTCTCATGAAGTTCAGGGTTATTTGACACTTTCCTGCCTGTTCTGTGAGTTTAATAGACAGACAGTTACTTCTTACCTTGCGTTACAAACTATTTTCAGTTACTCGGTACCGCTTCGCTCGCTGCTCCTCCCACCCTCTTGGTGAAAAGCTACGGCTCGAACAGTTGACTCTTGGGAAATGTAGTCCTTTTGACTTGTGTGAAAGTGAAGGCTTACTGAAAGAAAACTACAAAATAGCTGTGCCCGTGTTTTTTTTTTTGTTTGTTTCATTTTCATTTTTGGTTATTGGTCAGTTCCCGCTCCTGTCTGATCCCGTTAGCTTTCAGTCAGGTCACGTCCCAGTCACATGAGTTATAATGAGGTTGACTCCGGTCCCGCTGGAATCCGGACGGAATCCAGACGGAATCCAGACGGAATCACGTGACTCGTGGTACGCCCGAAAAAATGTCATCCTCTAATCACTAGTGGGTTTAATCCTTCGTGCGCAGTGCAACCCTGAAAACTTTAGTCTGCGCCCACCAGCTGTGTGGGCCCCACCCCCGATCCATATAAATTATGGTGAGACCGGGCAATCAGCTCCCATTTTTTCTTCAGCCAGCTAGCAAGCACTGTCAGAAGAACGAAGAAGAAAAAGATGTCCAGCAACATCTGCGAAGGATGCCTGGTCCCCGTCACGCCAACCTCGCCACCTCCTGCCGTCCCTGTGAGCTCCTCCCTCCTGAGGAGAAGCAGAGACGAACAGCCTTATTCAAGGTCAGTGCCAAGGAGTGGGTTTTTTTCTGTGATGGGCCATTACTCGCTGGATAATGCCATCGCATTTTCTAACGCATTTCCATGCGGTGAATCGGATGATTCCTCCGAAAAAAGCGTTGTTGGCAGCAGCCCCACTGCCCCCTCCCTCCTGGAGAGCGTAGTGACAGAAGATGGATTACCGAGCGGATGCTCAGCCACCTTGAGCGAGCGGATGCTCAGCCACCTCGGGTCTTCCTATGTCGGCGACCACTTTGCTCCAAGCTGTCGTGTCCTCCTCTTGGAACTACCCGGCATAATCCAGGAGGCTGCTGACACAAAGTTGACCCTGATTGGTCTCATTGGAATGATTTTTGTTTGGTTGGCTTTGTGGAGATCTAGTGGAGTGCTGTGTGGATGGGTGATTGAAGATACAGATTGTGGTGTGGTGAGCTTTGAGTGTTTTGAAATGAGCTGGAGAGGCGCTGTATAAGTACAGTCCATTACAAAGGGACTTTCCATCCCTCTCCTCCCTCCCCCCTGATTGGATGATCTGGCGGGAAGGTTTGGCTTCTGGTGCCGGTCTCCACCTTCGCCCCATCACCAGAGCGGAGGGCTTTATCGAACTGAGTTTTCCCTCCGTTCCCCTTCTGGACCCAAGCTTTACGGAGGCGTTCGGGGCAAAGGCTTCTAGGATGGACCAGCGAAACTGTCACTCCAGGAAAGCAAGACCAGACCATTACAAAGCTCTCCAACTGAGCTCATCAGTGCTCATTCTAGGCGACCGCGGCGAACAACAACGTCGCCCTGCTGGCCTTCAGCATTGCGAAGAGGCTGGAGGAAGCAGACCTGCCAGAGGAGACAAGAGCTCCCTCTGTAACCCCGCCGACGTCATCCTCAACCTGTGCACCACCTCTGTGGTTTGTCTGTCCCACATTGCCATGTGGATGACCATGATTCAGAGGACCACCTGGCTCCGCCTCTCGCCATCCATGTCCGAGAGGTTTCAGAGGGACCTGCTGGAGGGCTTCGTCACCCCAGAGGCGCTGTTCGGGACCAACTTCAGGACCATCCTTGAGAAATCGCAGAGGACCGAGGAGGTCTCAGAGAGGGTACACCATCTGGTGACGTCACAGTCCTATTCCCACTCCTCCGCCATGGCCAGCAACAGCAGCAGAGGTGCTCCACACTTAAAGCTCCACTCCTCCGCCGGCCCCCTCCACCAGGGAACAGCTCCTTGAGGGGAATGTATGTGTTTTTGATGATGTATGTTTGGAAATAAAACAAAAACATCTCTCAGAGAGTAAAATTTCATCTGATTCCAACCTGACTGTCAGATCAGCTGATCTCACAGCTGCCTCTCTTCACGCATTCCCCACACAGAACGAGCCGGTAACCTCTAAACAGCGTTTTAAAAGGCACCACAGCTCAGTAAATCTCACAAAACAGTCATCTGCCACGTCAGCTAAAAATGATGTTTTTCAGCAGACCGAGTCCAGGAAAATCCCTCGCTCTTAGCTAGAGCCCGTTTTAGTTTCTGCTGTTTCTGCCCACTCATCGTGCAACGGGAGTAAATCTGTTTCTCCACGACAGTTGCAGCCCCAACCGAAACGGTGTCTCACCCAAAAAAGCACTCACGCCTCCTCTCAGTGCACGTCAGCTCACCTCAGCTCTAACGTGAGACCACAGCCTGGGCTCAGCACAGAGGTACACATACAGCCCTTTCTGTCGGAGCCCCCCTTGGGTCCCCCCTGGAGAATCTCCGGAGTGGATTACGGTGGTAGGGGCTCTAGTCTGGCTGACGTCCATGAGAAACATGACATAACACAAAAATGCATGCCCGCTCTCCGAGCGTTACTCAGAATGGCAGCGAGTGTGTACCCTGGACAGGTGGATTGACCGTCCAATCAGCAGGGGTTACATGCGGTAGTTCGCATCTCAACCCCACCGTTCAGAGGGATTATAGAGATGGTTCTGTCATCTCCAGAACAGAGTTTGTCTCTCCAGTCCAAAGTTCAGGAACTCTCGATGAAAAACGTAATTTCCAGAGTTCCCAACTGAGAGGAAAACACAGGGTTTTACTCCTGCTACTTCCTGGTACAAAAAAAAAAAAAAAAAAAAAACGGAGGGATGAGACCCATTCTCGATTTGTCCATGTTCAACAAATCGATCATGGAGAGACAATTCCACATGCTGACAATCAAACAGCTGCTGGAGAACGTTCACCAGAACGACTGGTTCATCTCCAAAGATCTGAAGAGCACATATGATCACATTCCCATCATTCTGAAACACAGGAAATTCCTGAGTTTTTCCTTCCAGGAGATTCCGAATCAGTACAACAGGCTACAGTTCGGTTATTCCCTCACCCCACGCACATTCTCAAAATGCGTGGAGACGGCTCTGCAGCCATTACACATGGCAGGAATGAGAATTCTTTTTTTATCTGGATGATCTGCTTTTATTAGCTCGGTCTAGGCAGGAAGCAGTCGTGCAGACCAAAATGCTAGTGTTTACGCCTGCTAAACCTGGTGTTTTCTATAAAATGGGAAAAAGTTCCGTTCTCTTATCCCAGATGATTGTTTATCTGGGAGTGGAGCTAAACTCAACCACAATGATAGCCCGTTTATCACAGCCAAGAGCCGACGCTATGTCTCAGCTCCACCGTGTCAAACCCCGCAGCCTAGTGACAGCTCTGTTTATCATGCGACCCCTGGGGATGATGTCAGCAACTCACGTCGTGGTTCCACTGGGCCTGTTTCACATGAGACGCCTTCAGAGATGGTTCACCTGCCTGCGCACAGATCCTGTGCGCCAGAAGAGGCGAATGATTTCTGTGCCCCCCTCCGTGAGTACCGATCTGAATCACTGGGGAAACCCCCTCATTCTGTCAAATGGAGTTTCCATCAGCAGGCAGGCCTATGTTACACATCTCAGTTTTTACAGACGTGTCCCTGTCAGGCTGGGGAGGAACGTGTCTGTCCCAGGCAGTGAGAGCACAGTGGCTGGACCACATGTCACTTCACATAAATGTGCTAGAACTTCTCACGGTCTGGAACATGACTCAGAATTTTGCTCCCCTGTTGCAGGATCAGCATGTTCTGATTCACACAGACAACAAAGTGACGGAAGCTTACATAAACCGTCAGGGAGGCGTGCACTCAGCCCAAATGTTATGCATCGCGAGGTAGCAGCTGTGTTGGGCACACAAAAACCTGCTCTCCATCAGAGCAGTGTACATTCCCAGCGTCCTGAACAGGGGAGCAGACATCATGTCAAGGGGCGGTCCCCGCCACGATGACTAGAGCCTCCATCCCGAGCTGATCTCTCAGATTTGGAGCAGGATCGGCTGAGCAGCAGTGGATCTGTTCGCCACACGGGAGAATGCCAATTGTTAATTATGGTTCTCACTGAGCCCACAGGACGACCCACCGTTAGGAGTGGACGCCTTTTCTCACATCCCATGGCCAAAAATGCTCATTTATGCATTCCCTCCAGTCCCACTGATCTCACGGACCCTGGACCGGGAGGAAGAACTGTCAGTCATCTTCATAGCTCCCAAGCGCATAAGCACTCCATGGTTCCCGAATCTGCAGCGACTGATATCGGGTCGGCCGTGGAAACTGCCATGGAGGGGGGACGCTCTCCTCCAGGTAGGAAGAGCGATCAGGAGTTACCCAGAAATAGGTCAGCACCTTTGGGTCTGGCCACTGAACGGATTCGTTTAGGAAAGATGGGCCTCCCACAGGATGTGGTGCGCACGATCCAGGGCGCACGAGCCACTTCCACCACAGTGCTGTACACATCAAAGTGGACAGCTTTTCAGTGCTGGTGTGCAGAGAAAGGCGTGGAGGCCATCTCATGTCCACTAGGGGGCTTGCTCTCATTTCTGTAGTAACTGATAGACAGAAATTTAACGTTCAGCACAATTAAAACTAATGCTGCAGCTATTTCTTCCTGTCATGAGGGTTTCTGTGACAGAACAGTTTTTAACCACCCGCTGATTAAGCATTTTCTAAAAGGTGTACAGAAACACAGACCTGTGTCACGTCCGCTAGCTCCACAGTGGGACCTAACGATGGTCCTGCACGCTCTGATTAAAGCTCCTTTTGAGCCTTTAGATCAGGTTTCACTTAAAACAGCCCTGCTGTTAGCTCTGATGTCGGCAAAGAGAGTGAGTGATTTATCTGCTCTCTCTGTTGCTCCCTCATGTCAGAATTCAAGCTGACGGCAGTTCAACTGTACTGTGTCCTATTCCTGCTTTTACTCCCAAAAGTATCACAAGCTCATTCAGAATGAGAATGATAACCTTGGATGGGTTTTATCCTCCTCCTAATAATTCTGAGGAGAAAGCAACATGTCACCTCCTCTGAACCCGTGCACGCATTTTTCGTGTTACGTGACTATGGCCGCACTGCGCTGCTCTCAGCATCTGTTCGTGCATTACAGGGACAGCTCTGCAGGATGTCCTCTATCCACCCAGCACCTCTCACACTGGCTGTGTGAGGCTATTTCTGAAGCTTACAGTTCATCTGGACTGGATCCTCCAGAGAATCTCATAAAGCGCATTCCACCAGAGGGATTTCATCCTCCATGGCTCTGTATGGAGGGATGACAGTGGAGGATATTTGTACGGCAGCTGCCTGGTCATCGCCGTGTTCATTTATTCTTTTTTATCTACATGATGTTTCTATGCATAATTATAATACCATTATCCATTATCTTTACCGGCTTCTTCTTTTTTGGGTCACGGGGGGTCACTAGTGCCCATATCCAGCTATTCACTGTGTGAGAGGCGGGGGACACCCTGGACAGGTCTCCAGTCCATCACAGGGACACCCTGGACAGGTCTCCAGTCCATCATAGGGACACCCTGGACATGTCTCCAGTCCATAACAGGGACACTCTGGACAGGTCTCCAGTCCATCACAGGGATACATAGAGACAAATGAGATGAACACACATTCACTTTCTCACCTTGGGACAATTTAGGGTTACCAACTCTAACATGCATGTTTTTGATCTGTGGGAGGAAACTGGAATACCCGGAAAAACCCACCAGCATGGCGAGAACATGCAAACTCCACCCAGAAAGGTCCCAGCCTGGGATTTGAACCGGCAGCAGCTCTACCATCCGAACCACCGTACTGCCTAATTTTAATACCAACAAACCAAATAATATTAAAGTATTATAAATGATAGTGGGCTATCACTATAATGATATAGGAGACTGGTAAGGCCATCATGAAAGGCTAAACTGTAGAAACAAAAAATAATCTAGCATTGTTAGCATTGTTATCATTTGAGTTTGTTTAGAAGAGCTGATTGACAAAGGTTGAATTCAATGTTGTGTTAAGGATTAAATGTCTGTGTACCCACTATTTCACGTCTGCACTTACTGTATGATTTACCCACTCTTACATTTCTCTTCCAGGCGTTGATGTCTCTCTTTGTGTTGGCCTCAAAAGATGGATGGGTGGATATCATGTACGATGGACTTGATGCTGTAGGAGTTGACCAACAAGTAAGTATATTTAAATTTGCACGCAATAATTGTTTATTCTCATGACATTAACTAAGTAAAATGTAAAATTACGGTTGTGTTAGCTATTCTGAAGCTTCTGAAGATCTAAAATGTTTTTTGTTCTTTTGTGTTTTCAGCCTAAAATGAACCACAACCCATGGATGCTGCTTTACTTCATCTCCTTCCTCTTGATCGTTGCCTTTTTCGTCCTCAACATGTTTGTGGGCGTGGTGGTGGAGAACTTCCACAAGTGTCGGCGGCACCAGGAGGCCGAGGAGGCCAAGCGCAGGGAGGAGAAGAGACTGAAACGAATGGAGAAAAAGAGACGGAGTAAGGAGAAGGAGCTCGCTGGTCGGTAGTCTTTCCACATCTTTCTGAGTCCTGCTTGATTTAAGCTTGAGCCTATTTTTATTTTTTGCTTTTTTAATTTGGTTTGGCCAACTCGAGAAGAATGCAATTAGCAAGCTAGTGCCAAATATAGATGCTACTCTGCGGTAGAACCTTCCTTTTCTCTTGATAAGCCTCTTCCTTTTATTCATAGAGGCCCTCAGGATAGTTTACATCGTAGTCTGGTGGTCATGTGTTCTGGCTCTTTAGACACCAGACTTTGGGTGCTCTTCTTCAACCCCAGACTAAAACTTACCAAGCTGGGTGTTGAGAAAAGGTCCCAGAACTGCGAGGAGTTTACAGCGTTGGAACAGTTGACCTCCAGTCACCCAGAATTACTTTCCCACCTCAGTAACCTTGCCTGGTCTACCGTAGATGCTGTGCTTGGGACGGCCCATTGGAGCATGCCCAGTGGGTGCTGAAATACAGGGCTTGCATGTTAGTCGATACGTAGAGCCAGAGGGAGGGGAAGATGTTGGTGTTTTTAACGGCATAATGGAAAATATGGTGATTCTTCTCCCTTCCTCTCTTCTGCATGTTTTTTTTAGTACAGCCGCGGGGGAAGGGTTAAATCAAAATGTGGAAGCAAGAGTTATACTCTGGCTACGATCTGAGATCGTGAAAGGTGATGGTTGTAGGGGCTAAAGCTAATTTCCCACCTGGCCCCCCAAGTCTCTCCCCTGTGGCTGTATAGGAGTTTATGACAAAATGCTTGTTTTGATTTTTACTCTTTCCACTGTTTCCTGAACTTCAAAACATCAGCGCAAACATTTTATTTTATTATTTTATATTTTAGTTTATAGCCTTTTTAATTTTACTGCCTACAACTTTTAAAGGCAGATATACACATACATATATATGTTATTTTGTAAAAGGAGCAGTGGAAACAAAGTTTCTTAAAGTTCTTTGACTTTGATTTTAAGAACTGATTTTTTTATTTTTATTATTAAGTTTAGCTGATAAACAGCATTGTTGATGGGGGTTTTTTGTTGTTTGTTTTTTGAGAAATACAGATGAAATATTCTCTTTCTTTTAGAGCAGGCCAGCTGAAAATTTCTCCTGTCACACACAATAAACTTGTCAACACTTTGCACCAGCGGGGGCAGGACATTTCATCTTTTGAATTTTTATGTTTAGATTTTTATTTTTCTTGCTGATTTTTGTTTTTAAAAATATCTTGTTTTGTCTTGGATTTTTATTTTTTTTATTTTTTTGCCAGGGACTCTTTTTATTTTGTTAGTTTTTTATATACACTTGGTGACAATAAGGTTATATTTTGGTCATGAGCTGGTCTGAAACAAACAGGGAAGATTGTTTGTGCAACAAGTTAGCTAACGGTTCAGTGTTGACGCTTTGAAAACTGGTTATTGAATCAGCCACTTCCTTCTTCCTAATCCAAATTATTAATCCACAAACCTGGACTCAGAATAACTGGAAAGATATCATGTAGGAACACAACACCAGCTAAATCTTAACGCTTCCTTCTGGCCTTATTCCATCCCTCTTTCCCTCTTTCTTTCTCTTTAACTCTCTTCTTTCTCTCAGCCATCCTTCCTTTCCTTACCGTCTTCTGCTTCTGACTAACCCGGTTTCATTCCTCTAGATTTAATGGTTCCGGGGGTGAGTTGGGCCCTTTCTGACGGCACACTGAAAGGTACAGAGTTTCCAGCATGTTGTTTGTGTTCCTTTAAAGTCCCTCACTGCCACCGACCACGCCCACTCGCCATGGTGGCTTGGGTTCAAAGTTCAGTGATCACGAGAGGTAGGGCTCCATCCTGTGCCCCCACCCTCCTGCCTCTCTCCCATCAGCCTTCAGTCCACTGGACATACTGTCACCTGTTTCCTCTCTCATGGCTTTTTCTTTCACAGCTCTTCCACGCTGCCTGCAATCCATCCACTGTTCGTGTCCCTGCACCGCCACCTCACCACCACACGAGCTGAAACGTAGCTTATTTTTGGCAACGAAATTGAGAATGAGATGTAGGGAGATAGGAAAAGTGTCACCTCATTTATTTTCACATCTTATACACAAACAGCACTGTGGACTTTGAACGACAATTTCAGTTTCCATTTTATGTTTGTTTCTAATAGCTATTAGAATAACTTTCAGTTTTAGCATTCTAGGAACATTGTGACATAGTTTTATGCTTCTGATGATAAATCATGTCTGTCAGGGCTTCATTTGAGCCAGATCCTGCTGGAGCAGAATCCGGGATCTCTCCTTTTTTTGACAGGGTGCGTTCCGGTAACTGTTTGCTTGGATCCGGTAACTCTCAGGATTACTAATAATAAAGTTATGAACAAATATGACTGCCTTGAATGAATAAAACCTATACTGGTTATGCAATCTGAAAATAATTAAATAAGCACTCATTTTAAATACAACAACATCCTACGAGCTTCCTAGTATCACATTAGAGCTGCCCCTTCAAGTAAGCATTTTTGCTTCTACCCTTACAAAAATTTACGCCACTAAAAGTTCAGTCATGGACAATTTCATTAAAAACTCAAAAATATAATTAAACAGCACAACTAAACTGCAATTCAGTTTTACAGTTTAAGTGGGTAATTAATAATTTTGTTATTATTTATTAAAACTAATAACTTGAAATAATAATAAATAATAATAACTTGAACTTGACAAATATGAGAGAAATGTTTGATGGGTAATCTCTTTACATACATCACGTTTCAAAACAACAGGGCCAATTTGTCAAAAATAACAGTGATCAAAATGTCGAAAAGACAGTCCAATTTATTTTCATTTAAAAAAAGTATCTTCATTGTACAACTAAACAACTAACCTGTATGAATAAAGGTTGAATGAATGGGGGAAAAAAGTCAGAACTGAAGCACATGAAGGCAGTGGCAGTGGAGATACTGGAGCAGGTGTGAGTGGTGTGGGTGAGAGCTGAGCTAACCAGGCTGTCATACCCGGGCAGGAGCCCACAGCCAGCCACCATGAACAGCCTGAGGTGGAGCCTGGGGGGTTAAGTAAACATAGATGTTTAACAACCCGTGAAAATACACCAGAGTGCAGGAAATCACATCTACTTTATTCCAAAATAAGCTTTTGATACTCCCCGCCCCCAAATATTTCCATTCCGGTATTGTTTAGTTTACAATTTAAGCACTGATGTCTATTGATAAGAAGTTGTTGTCTTCATACAAAGTTTTGACATTCCCAGCTGTCACTAAATCACAGACCCCATGTATCCACAGGAGCAACACTTCAGTGACTGCACTGTTAAAGCAGACGCATTCATTTTTTCATTCAATCTTTATTTATACAGGCTAGCTTCACTGTACCACGGGGACTCATTTGCAAGAGGGACCTGTTCCAGACAGAACATATAAAGTACAGACAACAAAACAGTAAACAATGATAACAATAAACTGCAGTAAAAAATGCAGTTAAAGTAAGAGTAGTGCACAAAACAATAAATCAGGGTGTCGTAAAACAGGGTGAAATACTAAAACAAGAACATATTTGCTTTGATTTTTCTATTGACATTATAAACTGTTTGAAACCCCGTAAATAAATCAAGGAGGACAACATCAGTTCCTGTTGCAAGGTGTTCAATGTTGCAGGAGCTGAGTAGGAAAATACCTTTTTGCCAAGTTTGGTCTGCACTGAGGGAACGCTGCAGGTAATGATGGACTGAAAGTGCATGTTGTAACTACACTGATGGCGTGACATTTGGGAGGAAATATAAGAAGGCAGCATACCAAGGAGGGATTTATAAATGAAAATGAACCAGTGTGAGAGCCTACGTGTAGATAATGATGGCCAGTTGACTAATGATTACAGGGTACAGTGATGGGTACGGTAGTTACAACCAGTTATGAATCTTAACGCGCCATGGTAGAAAGCATCCAACATCTGCAAGGAGCTGGCAGGGGCATTCATGTAAGTAATGTCACCATAGTCAATGGCCGGTAGGAAGGTAGCAGTTACAAGGCATTTTCTAGCATTCAGAATTAAGAAATATCTATTTCTGAAAAGAAACCAAATTTTTATTTCAGTTTCTTTATCAAGTCTTCAATATGTAGTTTAAAAGAGAGATGTGCATCGACCAAAATTCCCAAATATTTGTAAGAATCTACAAACTCAATATGAACACCATGCATGGATGAGATATGGTAGAACTGCTGTCACTGACTTTCTAATGGAAAACAACATCCTATTGGTTTTGTCAGCATTTAGCACCAGCTTGAGGTGGAATAAGTCTGACTGAATGATGTCAAATGCAGACTGTAGAAGCTGGAAATCCTTGATAACTGTGTTAGCTCGACAACAAACAACAATGTCATCGGCATAGAGATACAAGGATGCGTCAGGAATGTTTAGACCTACATTACTTATATAAACTGTAGAAAGACTGGGACGTAAATCTGAGCCTTGTGGCACACCATTGGTGACCATTAGCTAGCTAGATGAAGTACTGTTATGTTGAACACATTGCCTCCGACCTGAGAGATAGTTTGAGAACCAGCCAACAGTGTGATCTGAGAAGCCAATATCTGAGAGCTTGTGACATAGGATGTCATGATCTACAGTATCAAAGGCTTTGGATAGGTCTAAGTAAAGGGCAGCACATTAATCTTTAGCGTCCAAAGCTTCAGCAACATCATTAAAAACCTTTGGCGAAGCAGTCATTGTGCTATGTTGTTTCCTGAAGCCCAATTGGAGAGAAGATAAAATATTAAAAGTCCAAATACTTCTTGACTTGAGTATTTACCAGTTTTTCTAAGACCTTAGCTAAAATAGAGTTTGGAGGTTGGCTGATAAATGTTCAGTATAATGGAGTCTCCTCCCTTCAACAATGGCAGCATACAAGCTGTTTTCCAAGCATCTGGGACAGTATGTTGTATAGAAAGATTGAAAATGTAAGACACCAGTTCTGCTACAATTTGTGCAGCTAGACTTAAGAAGTAAGGAGGGAGGTCATCAGGGCCTACAGATTTTCTAGTATCGAGATCTTTTAACAGTTTGGTAACCTCACAGACAGATAACAGTGAAAAAGAGAATGTATGTCCTGATGTATGCTCAATAATCCAGGTAGAAAAATCTAAAAAAGTTACAGTAATTCTTGTCCTCTGGAGGAGGTTCAAAGGACAAGACTTAACTTTTTTAGAAGAGAATGTATGGTTTACTAAGGTGTGACTTGTCGGTGAAGTAGTTTACCTTTAGAAACTGTACTACACAGGAAACTGGAGAGTACAAAATGTTTGTTGAAACAATTTAGCATCTCATAATTATCTGACACAGGAGCAGAGTCAACAAATAATTGTGGTGGTAGGTCAGATGAGTGAGTGCTGCCATCAAGAGATTTAATAGTTTTCCAGAAGCTCTTAGGATCGTTTAGATTTTTGGTGGTCTGAGATAAATAGTAGTTTTGTTTTGCCGCTGATGTGGTTATTTAGAACCCAGTAACCGTGAAGTTGGCATGGACGAACAAATTCAAGTTGCATTATGTCTTTTTGTTTATTGCAGATCATTCTATATGTAAACACATTTTGAGTCTGCAAACTAACAGTAGATGTGTTTCAAGAAGAAACAGCAGAAATATGGACTTAGAAAAAGTGCACCAGGGCAACACCAATGTTGGATCTGCTGGTGTTCTGATACCAGCCTCAAGTACTCATATGTGTACTCACGATAAATAGTCAGATACTTAGGACAGACATCACTTTTATGCTTGGTAATGTAATTTGCTCTTCCACTTTGCACATTATTGAGGACAAAAAAAGTCAGTAGTTTAGAAATACTTAAGATAACCACAGATAATGTTGACAACTGCTGTGTTTGTAATAAAATGTGTGTTTCAGCAGCCATTGTGCAACGTTTAGGTACTAGCTGATTAACTACTTGGTATGGTATTCAGTATCGGCAAGTACTCAAAGCAAAACACTTATGCTCGGTATGAAAAAAAAAAAACTAGTATTGGGACAACCATAGTAGGGTCTGTTTGTTTAAATCCAGATCTTAGTGTCAAGTTCACATGGTGTTTTGCTGACTTAGAAAAAAAAAGTTTTAACCTCTTATCAACTTGTCTGAGATGAGTGTAAAAGCATCTCTCACGCTCCTTAATTGACACACACAAAAAAAGTTTGTTTTGAATGGATGTTTTTGAATGAATACATCTAAGAAACAGAAAAAAAGTTTTGTCTTTGGCAAAATTTACCTGAGGACAAGAGCTTGGCCTATGATCAGGATATTATTTTGGATGTCAATTTGACACACTGAAGGTCACACAGCTTTACCATACCATACATACCACTTTATTTATAAAACACTTTAAAACAGCAGCAAGGCCTACCAAAGTACTGTACAACAAAACACGCAAAGGACACAGTATAAAATATTATACTAATATACATTGATGACACAGAGGTAAATATAAGAACTAAATGACTAACATAGAATATAAACAAGTTAAAATCAACTCTCACATTGTCAAAAGCCAGGGAATGAAAGTGAGTTTTCAAATGAGATTTAAAAACAATGAGAGAGGGAGCCTTCCTGACATGTAGTGGTAACTCATTCAACAGTTCTGGACGTGCAACAGAGAAGGACCTGTCACCTCTGAGCTTAAAACAAGTGCCTGGAACCAATAACATATCTGGTCTGACCTCAGAGAGCGCTGTGGG